GTCCACATCGTGTAACACCCCAATTTCCTTAAAAGGATATTTTTATTAGTAATGGCATTTTCGTAATTATTGATGGCATTTTCGTAATTTTATAAAGGTATTAGGGGCATTTGAGTAACTCCAACAATTATCCATGAGTCTTGTAAATTGAACGATCTAGATTCACTTCAGCTTGAGTTGATGGAAAAGTTGAGAGATACAAAATTCTTAGTTGTCTTGGATGATGTTTGGATTGAGCGTAATGATAATTGGATAAGTCTTAAAAAAGCATTTGTAAGTGGGATCAAGGGAAGTAAAATTCTCAAGACAACTCGCAGTGAAAATGTTACAAAAATAGTCCATTTTGATACTATTCAAGTGTAACCTATGGATAAATTTTCAAATGAAAATTGTTGGTTAGTGTTTGCGAACCATGCATTTCCTCCCTCAGAATCCAATAATAATATAAGTGCTCTAGAAAGAATTGGAAGGGAAATTGTTAAAAAGTTTGATGGATCGCCTTTAGCAGCACAATCTCTAAGAGGTATGTTGAGAAAAGAGTATGATATCAGAGATTGGAATAATATACTTGAGAGTGACATTTGGGAACATCCTAAAAGTCTTGGTGAAATTATTCCGACACTAAGGACTAGTTATTATTATCTCCGTTCACACATTTTGTAAGCATACTCTACAATAATAAAATATTGTCTGCTTTGGGCCTAAGTCCTCAATACTTTTGGTAATCACCTAAAAGACCTCTCCGACATTAGAGTATCCCAACAATTATCCATGAGTCTTGTAAATTGAACGATCTAGATTCACTTCAGCTTGAGTTGATGGAAAAGTTGAGAGATACAAAATTCTTAGTTGTCTTGGATGATGTTTGGATTGAACGTAATGATAATTGGATAAGTCTTAAAAAACCATTTGTAAGTGGGATCAAGGGAAGTAAAATTCTCAAGACAACTCGCAGTGAAAATGTTGCAAAAATAGTCCATTTTGATACTATTCAAGTGTAACCTATGGATAAATTTTCAAATGAAAATTGTTGGTTAGTGTTTGCGAACCATGCATTTCCTCCCTCAGAATCCAATAATAATATAAGTGCTCTAGAAAGAATTGGAAGGGAAATTTTAAAAAGTTTGATGGATCGCCTTTAGCAGCACAATCTGTAAGAGGTATGTTGAGAAAAGAGTATGATATCAGACATTGGAATAATATACTTGAGAGTGACATTTGGGAACATCCTAAAAGTCATTGTGAAATTATTTCGACACTAAGGATTAGTTATTATTATCTCCCTTCACACATTTGACAAGCATACTCTATAATAATAAAATTTTATATGTTTTGGGCCTAAGTCCTTAATGGTTTTTGTCATCACCTAAAGGTCTCTCCGACATTGGAGTATCCCAACAATTACCCATGAGTCTTGTAAATTGAATGATCTAGATTCAGTTCAACTTGAGTTGATGGAAAATGTGAGAGATAAAAAATTCTTAGTTGTCTTGGATGATGATTGGATTGAGCGTAATGATAATTGGATAAGTCTTAAAAAACCATTTCTAAGTGGGATCAGGGGAAGTAAAATTCTCATGACAACTCGCAGCGAAAATGTTGAAAAAATAATCCATTTTGATACTATTCAAGTGTTACCTCTGGATAAATTGTCAATCGAAAATTGTTGGTTAGTGTTTGCGAACCATGCATTTCCTCCCTCAGAATCCAATAATAATAGAAGTGCTCTAGAAAGAATTGGAAGGGAAATTTTAAAAAGGTTTGATGGATCATGCTTAGCAACACAATCTCTAAGAGGTATGTTGAGAAAAGAGTATGATATCAGGGATTGGAATAATATACTTGAGAGTGACATAAGGGAACTTCCTAAAAGTCAGTGTGAAATTATTCAGACACTAAGGATTAGTTATTATTATCTCCCTTCACACATTTGACAAGCATACTCTACAATAATAAAATATTATCCTTTTTGGGCTAAAGTCCTCGATGCTTTTGGTGATCACCAAAAAAATCTCTCCGACATTGGAGTATCCCAACAATTATCATTGAGTCTTATAAATTGAATGATCTAGATTCACCTCAGCTTGAGTTGATGGAAAAGTTGAGAGATAAAAAATTATTAGTTGTCTTAGATGATGTTTGGATTGAGCGTGATGATAATTGGATAAGTCTTAAAAAACAATTTCTAAGTGGGATTAGGGAAAGTAAAATTCTCATGGAAACTCGCATCGAAAATGTTGCGAAAATAATACATTTTGATACTATACGAGTGTATTCTCTGGACAAATTGTCAAACGAAAATTGTTGGTTAGTGTTTGGGACCCATGTATTTCCTCCCTCAGAATCCAATAATAATAGAAGTGCTCTAGAAAGAATTGGAAAGGAAATTGTTAAAAAGTTTGATGGATCGCCTTTAGAAGCACAATCTCTAAGAGGTATGTTAAGAAAAGAGTATGATATGAGGGATTGGAATAATATACATAGAGTGACATTTGGGAACTTCTTAAAAGTCATTGTGAAATTATTCCGACACTAAGGATTAATTATTATTATCTCCCTTCACACATTTGCAAGCATACTCTACAATAATGAAATATTATCTATTTTGGGCCTAAGTCCTTAATGCTTTTTGTCATCACCTAGAGGCCTCTCCGACATTGGAGTATCCCAACAATTACCCATGAGTCTCGTAAACTGAATGATCTAGATTCACTTCAGCTTGAGTTGATGGAAAAGTTGAGAGATAAAAAGTTCTTTGTTGTCTTGGATGATGATTGGATTTGAGCGTAATGATAATTGGATAAGTCTTAAAAAACCATTTCTAAGTGGGATCAGGGGAAGTAAAATTCTCATGACAACTCACAGTGAAAATGTTGCGAAAATAGTCCATTTTGATACTATTCAAGTGTATCCTCTAGACAAATTATCAAATGAAAATTGATCATTAGTGTTTGTGAAGCATGCATTTCCTCCCTTAGAATCCAATAATAATAGAAGTGCTCTAGAAAGAATTGGAATGGAAATTGTTAAAAAGTTTGATGGATAGCGTTTAGCAGCACAATCTCTAAGAGGTATGTTGAGAAAAGAGTATGATATCAGGGATTCGGATAATATACTTGAGAGTGACATTTGGGAACTTCCTAAAAGTTATTGTGAAATTATTCCGACACTAAGGATTAATTATTATTATCTCCCTTCACACATTTGCCAAGCATGCTCTACAATCATAAAATATTATCCATTTTGGGCCTAATTCCTCAATGCTTTCGGTCTGATGGGGTTATTTTATGATATTTGTTTGAGAAGATATTTTATAATAAGACTTATTTTTTATCAGAGGAGCATAATATAATTTTATTCATGAGTCTCTATTTATAGAGAAAATTTATACAAAATCAAATATTAATATTATCCTATTCTAAAATAAGGAAATAAATCCTAAAATAATCATAACAGATTAAATCTAAATATTTGAAATATAAATAAAATATTCTTTTAAAAACTAACTTAATCTCCTAAATATATTTAGGCATATTCCCAACACTCCTCCTTGACTGAATATCTTTATCACCTAATTTGAGTTTCAAAATCTGCCTTTTCTCTTTTTGATTGGTTTCTTCTTTTTGTGATTTTTGTTGTAATTCTTCTTGAGTGGAACCATTTTAACATTTGTCTCGAACTTCTCTTTTGAAGGTGATTTTTCATCATCTTCATTCTCCTCTTGATCATCAAACTCCTTTTGAAGACATGCATCTTTGTGCTCTTCACTTGTATCTTCATTTATAATTGGCTCCTCCTTCTCCAAATTTAAAGCAAAACTTTTGCCTTTCATATGAACATTGAACACTTCTTTATTGTGTATATCTTTAATCACACAATTTTTATCTTCAAATAACACTTTATAGCCTTTTCCTAATAATTGAGAAACACTCAACAAATTTTGGTTAATATCAGGAACGTATAAAACATCAGATATTAATTTAAAACCTGAATGACTCTTAATAGCAAGTGTTCCTTTGCCTTTTACTGCAAGGTGTGCTCCATTCCCCATTTGAACTTTAGAGATATCAGTTTTGTTGAGTTCTTTGAAGAGTTCTCGATCATAGGTCATATGATTTGTACAACCACTATCAATAATCCAAGCTTTTGAGAGTTTTTTGGTCATAAAGCATGACATTGAAAGTAGTTCTTCTTCTCCCTCTTCTTGTTGGTTGATGGAAAAGTTGAGAGATACAAAATTCTTAGTTGTCTTGGATGATGTTTGGATTGAGCGTAATGATAATTGGATAAGTCTTAAAAAAGCATTTGTAAGTGGGATCAAGGGAAGTAAAATTCTCAAGACAACTCGCAGTGAAATTTAATTGTGAATTGATGATGGGGTAGAGGGTGTCACACATCGAATTTCTTGAAGGCCAACGGAATTAGGCTTTATCAATTCGGGATCCACGGGTGTAAGGTTTGTATTATTCATCTCTTCTAAATTCTCATCATCGTTGGAATTTTTATGGGTATTTCTCAATAATTGGTATTTTGCATACTAAAGACAAAACAAAAACTAACTATAACTTCCAACAATTAGTTATTTTATACATTTTTAACTAAATATGTAAGTTTACTACTTTTTAACAATGATTTCTATTTTTCATTATTTTTTTAACGATTTTAAATTTACATAACAATATATGTACAGAAATCTTGATCGTAGTACACAAACTCTTAATTTAATTTGGTGTGTGCGCGTGTGTGTGCGCGTGTGTGTGTTAGGGAGAAAAAAAACTCTTACTTCGTTTATAATGTAGTTAATGAAATATGATTTTCCTTCCTTCTTTGTTTCTTGCTTTATTTCCTCATAAAGCCTTATGAGTGACTTATAAATTAACTTCATATATTCTGGGAGGTCACCCAAGCAGCTAATATCCCACCTGAAAAAAATTTTCATTAAAATAATTTATGTATGTTGTTTTTCCTTAAAAAAATAACAAGCAAAGAAAAATTGTGTTTTAAAATATGCTAATTAACCTTTCAATTGCCTTAGTAAAAATTTCTAATTCATCAATGGTTCCATATGCATCATATGTATCATCAATGATTGATAACATTGCAATTACTTTTGTTGTTATTTTTCTTGCTTGAGAATATTGGGGCTCAAAATATATCGCCAAAATCCAAAAGCAACATTCCACAATTCTATCTCGCACATAAGGTAATTTACTACGTACATCCAACTCTTTCCACCACCTATAAAGTCCAAAAACAAATGACAACAATAATTAAAAGGATTAGTCTTTGGAATCAATTTAAGAAGGTTTGTACTGATGTGACGAACTTACATGCAAATATTGCCAAATTCTTTTCTATGTAGATTTTGCAATTTATTGAAATCTAATTTGGCAAAATTGAGTAGAGTTTCATTATGAGAAGGATCTTGTTCATAGGTAGAAATGTAGTGGTGTGCCTCTAGCCTAGGTAGGTTCTTGTGGAGAGCTTGTCTCAAGCTATGATTGACTTGAATCGCAAGAGAAGGGCTCAATTGGGTTGCAATGAACTCAAGATAAGTGGAAGTGAAAGTCATGGCTTCTTCCAAAATGTCTTCTCCGTGAATCATCATATGTGAGGCTTCATAGAGGCACAACAGTCCCTCAACGTCATTAACAAGTCTTTCACTAAAGCATCCTGTCACATCCTTGAACTTGTTGAACACAACTAGTGTTTTATTCAGCAACCACATGATTGAAAATTAGTTAGAGACAAAATTTAAGAAAGCTATAATATGAATGTAAAATTTATAAAGCAATCTGTGAGATAATGTTTAAGGTGCTTCCCAAATTAATAAGCAAAACTTCTTGCTTTATTTCTCGTTCAATGTATACAATCCCAATAATGACATTTAAAATATAATCAAAGTGAACCAACAATTATCCATGAGTCTTGTAAATTGAACGATCTAGATTCACTTCAGCTTGAGTTGATGGAAAAGTTGAGAGATACAAAATTCTTAGTTGTCTTGGATGATGTTTGGATTGAGCGTAATGATAATTGGATAAGTCTTAAAAAAGCATTTGTAAGTGGGATCAAGGGAAGTAAAATTCTCAAGACAACTCGCAGTGAAAATGTTACAAAAATAGTCCATTTTGATACTATTCAAGTGTAACCTATGGATAAATTTTCAAATGAAAATTGTTGGTTAGTGTTTGCGAACCATGCATTTCCTCCCTCAGAATCCAATAATAATATAAGTGCTCTAGAAAGAATTGGAAGGGAAATTGTTAAAAAGTTTGATGGATCGCCTTTAGCAGCACAATCTCTAAGAGGTATGTTGAGAAAAGAGTATGATATCAGAGATTGGAATAATATACTTGAGAGTGACAGTATTAAAAAAATTACCACAACCTCAAAAATGGAGATATCTTTATGACCCGTATTATTTTATATTATTTTTATTTATTAATTACCATATATTATACATGCGCGCCCACGCGCGCGCACACACACGTATATATATATTTTTTACTTTTATTAAAATCCATGATCACTTTCTTAAATAACACAGAATTGCCATCTCAATTCTCACGAGCACATAATAATGCTAGAAGTTTTCAAAATACCATGAGAATGACTAATTCTCAATTACCAACTCCAAGTACATGTAGACGATGTCAAGCACAACTATTTTATCATGAATCAAAAGATATGTGCTGCTCTGGTGGAAAAGTTAATTTTACACAATATAATGCTACTCAAGAGTTGCTTGATATTTTTCTGGACTCTACATCTGAAGGGAAACATTTTAGAAAACATATTAGAAGTTACAACCATGTACTTTCATTCACTTCACTTGGTGTTCATCTTGATAAAAATGTTGGACCGAATGGATGTGGTATATATAGTTTTCGTGCTCAAGGTTCAATATATCACAATATTGGAGGATTCTATCCAAATGAGGGTTGTAGGCCACGATTCTTGCAATTGTACATCTATGACGCAGATCATGAATTACAAAATAGGATGCTTGAAAACCCTCAACTTCATCAATCCATAGTTTCTAAGTTGCAACAAATACTACATCAGTGCAATCCTTTTGTGCATGTATTTAAACAACTTGCACTACGATCAAATGTTCACGAATGTAGTCTACTTATTAAAGAACGTCCTGATAATCAACCACAATATCATCTTCCAACCGCTTCACAAGTTGCCGCAATTATTGTTGGTGGAGATACAGAATCACTGTCACGTGGACGAGATATCAATTTGCTCAGTCATGATGGTAATTTGGTGAACATTCAAGAAACAGTAGGCTATTATGATCCACTGCAATATCCTTTATTATTACCTTTTGGGACATATGGTTGGGATTTCAACATCAAAGATGATAAAGGACAAAATATATCATGTCGAGAATATTATAGTTACATCCTTCAGGTATTTTTCCTATATACTATAAAAATATATGTAAAAATTAAATTATGAAGTGTTAACTAATACCTGTGTTGTAGATTCGTCCAAATGATCAATCTACATTGTTAAAGTCTGGTAGACTTTTACAACAATATGTTGTAGACAACTATGTGAAAATTGAATCAGGGAGGTTAAGGTGGATTCGAAACCATCAGAATAATATTCGTGCTGAAGTATACCAAGGTTTGCAAGATGCTTTACATGAAGGAGAAACTATTGGAGGTAATCCACATAATATTTATGAATTTCATATTTATTTCAATAATTTTCATTCTGATTTACCAAAACTAACAAATTAAAATTATTATTGTAGAAAATATCGGTAAACGAACAATATTACCATCATCATTTATTGGTAGTCGTCGTGACTTGACACAACGTTATGAAGATGAAATGGCTATTGTGTTAATGATGGTAAATCGGACATTTTCCTCATAATGACATGTAATCCTTCTTGGAGCGAAATATCATCTCAATTAGGCCCTTATCAAACACCACAAGATCGTCCAGACTTGCTGACAAGAATATTTCGATCAAAATTTGAGCAATTGAAGGAGGATGTCATTAATAAAGGGGTCGTAGGAAAGGTAAAAAGTTACATGTATGTGACAGAATTTCAAAAGCGTGGACTGCAACATGTACATATGTTGTTGAACTTAGAAAGTAATGACAAATTACGTGACCCTGAAGATTATGATAGCGTTGTGAGGGCAGAAATACCTAAATTTGAAGATGAACCACAATTGCATGAGGTTGTACTAAATCACATGATTTATGGGCCTTGCGGAACTTTGAATCCCAATTCTCCATGTATGAAGAATGGTCAGTGCAAAAAAATGTATCTAAAATAATTTTAGCAAGAGACACGCCAAGGTCATGATTCATACCCACAATATAGAAGACGATTTAACCACCCAGTATCTGTTAATAGAAATGTCACACTATTGATAACAGATGGGTGGTTCCTAAATGTCACTATTGATAACAGATGGGTGGTTCCTTATAACCCTTGGTTACTCTTAAAGTACAACTGTCATATAAATGTGGAAGTATGCAGTAGCATCAAAAGTATTAAGTATTTATATAAATATGTCTACAAAGGTCCAGATCGAATATCAATGGAGGTTTGTAGAGGTTCAAATTTAGATGAGGTTCAACAATATATTGATGCAAGATGGATTTGTGCTCCAGAAGCTTTGTGGAAGATATTTAGATTTACTCTTTATCAAATATATCCATCTGTTGAAAGATTACAAATTCACTTACCAAATCGCCAACAAGTGCGATTTTATAATCATCAAAAAATCACTGATGTTCTAAACAATGACCATAACTCTAAAACAATGTTGATACAGTTCTTTGCCCTAAATCGCAGAGATCCAAATTCAAGGGGTTATTGGTACAGAGAGATTCCAGAACATTATTGTTGGCATAGGGGGGATAAGGAATGGTATCGAAGAAGGTCACCAAAGAAAGTCATTGGTAGGATTTATACAGTATCTCCTTCAAAAGGTGAAAAATTCTACCTACGCATTCTATTATCTCATTTAAAAGGTCCAATGAGTTGGGAAGATATGCTTTCACCAAATGGAACATGTTTTACCACATTCAAGAAAGCGGCTGAGCATTAGGGCTTTTTAGAAAGTGATAATAGTATAGTATTCATGAATGCTTAGTTGAAGCATCAAGTCTACGAATGCCTTATGCTTTAAGGAGTTTGTTTGTAACGATATTAATCTTTTGTGAACCAACCAATGTTAGACAACTTTTGGATGATTTTTACCTCTACATGATGGAAGACTATCCTTCAACAAGCGTTGCTGCGACAACAAGTTTCATTAACATCTTATTACAGGATTTGAATGACCTTTTGATTCAACATGGAAAACAAATCACAGATTATGATTTGCCAACAATAACAATGGAGAATACTCATAGTTCTTTGATGCCAAGGGTTATACAAGAGGAGTTATCCATCCAGGTAGATAATGAAGATGTAGAATCTGTGATTAAATTAAATAATGATCAATTAATTGCATTTAATGCCATTACGGAGGTTATCAACAATAAACAAAGTCAAGTTTTCTTTGTCGATGGACCAGGAGGAACAGGTAAAATATTCCTTTATCGCACTATAATTGCAAATGTGAGAAGCAAGGGACAAATTGTTTTAGCAACTGCATCATCTGGTATAGTTGCCACACTATTAACTGGTGGTCGAACTGCACATTCTAGATTTAAGATACCAATCAATGTAGAGGCAGATTCATTTTGTTCAATAAGTAAACAGTTTGATCTGGCGAAACTAATTAGAGAAACCACAACAATCATTTGGGATGAAGCACCCATGACAAATAGATATGCTTTGGAAGCATTAGACATAACATTAAAGGATATTCTAGATTGTAATGCTCCATTTGGTGGTAAAATTATGATATTGGGAGGGGATTTTCGTCAGGTGCTTCCTGTTGTTCCAAAGGGTACTAAGGCACAAATGATATATGTATGTATCGTTAAGTCTCATTTATGGCCTATGACAAAGGTTTTACATTTGAGACAAAACATGCAATCATTACAAGATCCTAATTTTGCAAAATATCTTCAAAACATATAAAATTTTATTATTATAGAGTATGCTTGTCAAATGTGTGAAGGGAGATAATAATAACTAATCCTTAGTGTCGAAATAATTTCACAATGACTTTTAGGATGTTCCCAAATGTCACTCTCAAGTATATTATTCCAATGTCTGATATCATACTCTTTTCTCAACATACCTCTTACAGATTGTGCTGCTAAAGGCGATCCATCAAACTTTTTAAAATTTCCCTTCCAATTCTTTCTAGAGCACTTATATTATTATTGGATTCTGAGGGAGGAAATGCATGGTTCGCAAACACTAACCAACAATTTTCATTTGAAAATTTATCCAAAGGTTACACTTGAATAGTATCAAAATGGACTATTTTTGCAACATTTTCACTGCGAGTTGTCTTGAGAATTTTACTTCCCTTGATCCCACTTACAAATGGTTTTTTAAGACTTATCCAATTATCATTACGTTCAATCCAAACATCATCCAAGACAACTAAGAATTTTGTATCTCTCAACTTTTCCATCAACTCAAGCTGAAGTGAATCTAGATCGTTCAATTTACAAGACTCATGGATAATTGTTGGGATACTCTAATGTCGGAGAGGTCTTTTAGGTGATTACCAAAAGTATTGAGGACTTAGGCCCAAAGCAGACAATATTTTATTATTGTAGAGTATGCTTACAAAATGTGTGAACGGAGATAATAATAACTAGTCCTTAGTGTCGGAATAATTTCACCAAGACCCAACAATTATCCATGAGTCTTGTAAATTGAACGATCTAGATTCACTTCAGCTTGAGTTGATGGAAAAGTTGAGAGATACAAAATTCTTAGTTGTCTTGGATGA